TCCCTACATCTTCAGTGTGTCCTTGTGGATGAGGAGCAGGAGATCAGGGTTGCATTCCTGGTTCTACCACTGGTTCACCAAAAGGTTGAATTTGTCAATAGTAATTTTATTTTGGATGGAAAATGTCCTTTTCCATTAATTTCCCCACCCCCTCCCCATTTTTGTGGCTGAACACTTCAGAAACAAAGGAAATTAGGGTTCAAGATGAGCATTTTTGGTTTTAGAAATGGAGGGCTAGTTGGGATGTGGGGCTTTCCCCTCCACTTTATCCTCTTTGACACCAAACACAGTGGGATAAATGATGCTGAGGTTTTATCCTCACTATTTCCTTTTCTTCCCCCACTTCCTCTTCTTTTCCACTGAGTGACTTTAGAAAACCTCCTGGACTCCTAAAACATTTCTTAGTGTTATTTATCTTAAAGAAGTTCAAAGAAAAGATGTGTTTTAAATCTCAGGGCAGCCCACTCACCTGCCTGGGTTATCCCATGACAAACAAAGCACTTGGCAGTTTTACCAGGAGGTGCAGGGGTACAAGGCTGACCTTGGTGACCAAGGTAAAAGTAAAGCGCCTTGTCTTCTCTATATTCTTATCCCAGGATAGCTCAGGTGCAGCAGAGGAAAAGCATGCCTGCTCCAGTGGTGAAGACAATTCTAAGCTCTTGGGGCAGGGACTGACATTTCAAGCTACATTTGAACTAGCAAATGATAATATCACTGTAAATCAGATTTAATCAGAGGCAGCAAAGGATGTCTGAATGCAGGGAACGTCCCCATGAGCTCCTGGAATCCATGACAATAACTTTGAGAAAGGAAGTGGAATGGTTCAGGCGACTGACTAGGAACTCAGGAGCCTTTTAACACGTGATCCCATCCAGTTTGTACCTGAAAGTTGTTACCAGCTACTGGCTGTTCAGTGCAGCAGGACTGATTGAGAACAGGAAGATGAGAAAGAGCAAGAGTTTGGGAAAACCCAAGCTTCCAAAAAGGGATAGGAAAGAAGAAGAGGCTTTTTCCTTTAGACAAAAGGCAAATAAAAGGGGGGATGAGAAAACAAACAATAAAATAAAAAAAAACTGGTCTAGAAAATGAAGATCAGGAATGTTTGTTCTCATAATACAAAACTCAGGAGCATTCATGGGAACTGAAAAGTGTGCAGCATTAAAAGGAACATTAAAAGGACAGCATTAAAAGGAAACACTATGCATAACTGAATCGCGAAAGTCACTACCAGAAGAGATGGATGCCAAGAACCTAACGCACTGAGACTGGACGTGCATGCGCGTGAGTTCACTATCCAGCATTAGAATGGTTAATGTTACAAAGGTTGGAAGGGAAATTAGATGTTGTGCTTCAAGGGATGAATCAATCTCTAACTGAGCTCGAGAGAGGTAAAATTGGGAGCAGACTCTCTCCATCAGGGTAATTAATTACTCCTTCCTCTGAAGTATCCTGTCTGGCCCACTGTCAGAGTCAGGAGTCTCAGGAGAGAGGCCCGGGACTGAGTGCACTGTGGAGACTGAATAGGCTGTCAGGGGCAGGGAAAGTGAGGGTAGACACTGTCTGTGTCTGAACTTCGCTGTGGAGCAAACTGATTCATACAGAAAACACTGAGCAAACACCCAGCCCAACATGACAGACTGGGGAAAGGCAGCACAACAGCGTGAGAACAGCCAGTGAAGAAGAAGCCGTAGGTTTAGGCAAACACCTGATAGAAACCTGGCAGGTACAAAAGTTCCTGGCTGGGAAAAGTTCCACTAAAAATGGGGTTTTTTCATCAGGATTTTCCAGTTCACCAAAACCCGAAGTGTCTTGCAGAGATAGTTCAGTTTTGTTCAAGTTCTTCTAGAAACCACGCAGAGTTCAGCTGCTTGCATGAACAGAGAACCCAAATCCCAGCTCTCTCTGGGAAACACGCTGGAGGGGACAAGAAAGCAGGCAGGCAGGGACAAATGGAGAAATGCTGCACAAGGAAAACAGAGTGGCAATAGGGCAGGGAGCTGTGCTGAAGCAAAACCAGACATGGGCAGTGGTGGATTCCTGCCAGAGTTACCAAGACACGGCTGGGCACGGAGGAGCTCACTTTCCAGGCCTTGTCAGCAACTGGAGGAAGACACAATAGTGCTGACCTTGGAGTTAGAAAAGTCCTTTTCTGCACAGAGCCCCCAACCCTACATCCTGACATAACCAGCCTTGAGCACCCCATTTCTCTGGGAGATCAGGAGATCGGGGAGGAGGGAGACAATGGATTGGGATTGGGAAGGGGTAGCCCAGCTGCCCATCCTACACGGCAAATGGGAGGGTAGAAGGGAGGAAGCAGGAAGGCAGGGAGGAATGTGAAGGATTGCAGATGTGACTCCGACTTTCATTCTCAAGGGGCCAGCACAGGCTTGTCGGCTGGCTGCATCTACATCAGCAGGCCTCAGGCCAGGGTGCAAGCCCAGACAGTTCCCCACAGGGAGGAGGGGATGGAGCTGTCTTTCCCCAGCCCTCTGCATGTCTGGGGAGCTGTGTGCTGCAGATGCCCAAGGTCTCTCTCTCAGCCATAAAGCGGGCAGGAAGGGAAATTACCTTTGGCAGGGGCCATCAAATGTTCCTTCATTATAGCTAGGGACAGAAGTTACACATAAACCGGTTTAAGTGATCAGAAACTGGTTTAAACCTGTAACAGAACAGAAGCTCAGTGAACATAAACCAGTTTCAAAATGGCTAAAACTGGTTTAAGATAAACCTGGTTGAATGAAGTATCAGACTTAACTGATTTGGGTCAAACCAGTTTATGAAACGTCTGTCCCAGGCCCCTTCCTGGTTCAAGTTAAATCAGAGTCCCCCCGCATCCCAGCATGCTTTGCAGCCCTGGGCTGGGCTGGGCTGGGCTGTCTGCTCCAGCGAGCAGGGCTGACCCAGCCCCTCTGCTCCCTACCTGACAGGGGGGTGGGGGGACAAGCCTGGCTGGGGATGCAGCCCAGCCTACAGGGGGACTGGCCCTCAGGTAAACCCAGGCTGGGGTCTGGGGCAAGGGAGAGGGGTTAAACACCCCTTCCCCCGCTGAAACTTGCTGGTGGCTGCAACTGTGGACTACGAATCCCAGGGGCACCTGAAAACAGGAAGAGGAAGTGATGAGCAACCCCACAGAGTCCTACTGCTGTAATTTTGGATTGCAAATCCCAGAGACCTGGGGGGCAGCAAGAAGAAGAAGTGAACACACAGCCAGAGAGCCGTGCTCTAGTGCACCCCAGCTTCTGGCCTGAGCTACTGCAGTGCTCAATGTGCTGAAATGTGGCTGCGTTTCCTGAATAAAAGGTAAATGTCTGTTCACTTCTGTTTCAAGTTATTCTCTGCAGTTTAGATTAACCTGCAAAGACTAACTCAATTCAATCTCAGGCTTTTTGACTGTCCATACCTAGCATATATGGTGGTCCCCCATAGAATACAACTCCTGTGGGAGGGTAGCTCCCACCACAGGGA